ACTTCAAATAGCTTTCATTATGTTATCCAAATTGACTTTTTATCTGAACACGAATATTAATGTCGCAACATAAACTGAAAGAATAACTCTGTTTCGATTCTACTTTCTCGTTTTTCGATCGTCTTCTGTTTGTTTAAATATCAAACTTTCAACGCGATTGACAGCTAAGCATTTGTCTGACTTTTTTTCGAAACGATCGACTTTGAAGCGAATAGAGAATTGGATTGAAGCTTGCGCTCATCCAAACCAAACTTAGCATGATAACAAGCAATTTATCCTCGATTTCTTGCACAGCACCGACTAAAATTAAACCTTCTACAGCCGCCCATGGCAGCCAAAATACGTTGAAAGAAACAACAACGCTGAGGACAATTCTTGTGATACGTTTTCGCGTTTTGAGGAGAATTTGTTCTCCTTCCTGGGGGGTTCGCCGCGAGCAATGACACCATAGATGTTTGATAAGGGCTAGAGAAGTTCGCAGTATTACCGCCATCGGTATAATATATGCAGCAATGAGATCGATGAAAACGATCACTTTGATTTTAAAACTGTGAGCTCCAGATTCCAAGAGAAATGTTAAGCAAATTAAAACGGATTTTCCTTCGAACGCGTTAGGAATTTTCATCATAAGCAAAACCGTTGGTAAAGATGTAATCACAGCTATCAGCCAAATTATTACAATCAAAATACGGTTGTTCTTCTTTTTCGAAGCTCTTCTGTGCTTCCACGGATGAACTATAGCGTAAAATCTGTCCGTTGAGATAGCAGCCAGTGTAAGAACAGATTTTTGAGACGTGAAGTGAATTCCCACGATGGTTACTTTACATGCAATGCCCTCGAAGTTGGGTGGCAAAAGATTCCCATCGCTAAAATACCGATTACGAATTTGTTCCGCGTAGAAGAGAGTTCCAAACAGCAAACAAAACAAGTCAGATATGGCTAAATTGAGTAGAAGGTAGTTAAATGAAGACCTCAGTTTTTTGTTTGTGATAATAAGGAAGCAGATTATAAAATTTCCCACCAACCCTGCCCATATTATAACTGGTGTAACAACTTCAAACGCTAAAGAATCGTTTAACGACATGGTGAGAGCTCCACGACTTGAAGTCGGCCTCTATGTAGTTTCCTCTCGCGAACAAAGATTATTACATCGGAAAAACTGACGTTTCTTATAGATATGCCCTTCCTTTTTGACACGAACAAAAATAATCTTCAGGAAATGCTGTTTCACGGGGGGTTATAATTATGCAAATGTATGTCCTCGAAAGTCGCTCTCTAAATTTACTTTTGAACCAGAGCTTAATTACAATGTGATTCAAAATCAGTCTGCAAGATTGAAATGATGACAATAACGATTTGTCTTGGTTTCATTAAATCTTATACCTGCAGAATTCACTGTTTCAAAGTGGCTTTAAAGGATTTGAATTAATAGAAGAATTGATCATGGGCAATCGACTGTTGTAATAAAGCTCAGTGTGTTTAGTTTTCTTCAGCTGTCGCATGATTTTACAGTACATTTTGAGGAAAGTTATCTATATTTATCTATTTTAAGCGACGCTACTTGAACTTTGAAGCATGAAATCATGTCTTTAATTAACAGGACATAATCTATTGCTCATCAGAACTTTCGTTTAAATACTTTTATGAGTAGCAAGTAAGCCGCACTCAGTTTTCCGTTTAAAAGATATCCCTGTTTTTTCCCTTCAATTCTGTTTATTTTTAATTTTATTTTGAACACTTTTTTCGGAAACATTTTGTAGCATCACTAAGTATGATAGTAACACCAGATGGCTTGCTCACTCAATCACTCCGTTTTGTCGCGATAACATCTATTGATTGGACCATTAAGAAACTTGAATTGCCTTAGTTATAATTAAAAGCTATATATTCACCGTAGCGGAGGAGGCCAGTGGTGAATATTTGGTGGTGGATATTGAAACTGCAATTATGCGAAAACTGTGTGTGTGGTCTGTGGCCCGGAAATTAACAACTCCGCATCTTTAATATAAATATAATTCACTTTAATCCTGATTAGCTGAAGTTGGTTGAAACTAAAGAAAATAACAAACTTTTACAACAGTTACACAATAGACAACATAAAGAAATAACGAACAACAAGACGGAAAGAGGACTATAACTGAAGTACTTACATTGTTACGGCCACAGAAACATTATTAAACTGCACTGAGCAAAAACAAGAAAACAGCTATATTACATGATAAATTATGCAGGCAGCACAAAGCGACCAAAAGGCTGCAACAAAATGACAAAGAAAAGCGCTAATGAAACAATAAATATAACTGTAGAATGAAAAAGACTTATAAATGAACTCCAAACACGTAAAAGGAAAGAAAAAATGTCGCACTTAGAACTTACAGATATTTTTTTGGTGGTAAATATCCACAGCTAGGCACCAACACTGAAGTAAACATTTGTTTTAACCAAAGAAGAGAGAGAAGATGGCCAACGAGTGCAATATTTTAGGTTCAAATCGCGTACAAGTTGCTCGAAGGCGAACGGCAAAGGATGGTTAAAGTTTGAAAAAACAATCAGAGCGCATGCATGACGCCTTCAACGTTATCCTCTATTTAATCATTTTACTAACTGTAAATAGCTCTGCCTTTGGACTATGGATTTATTCTTTTTATCTAAATCTATCTATTTTTCTTCAAAATCGTTCAGCTGTAACTTAAAGGAAAGAAGAGAAGAGAGTTTAAATATGCAGATTACTTATGGAACGACCAGGGCGCAATTTAAGTTTCCATTGTTGCATTCTCGAACGAATGTCGAAAGGAGCCTGGCATTGCATTAGTTTTGCTTCTCTACCGTCCGTGATTGGTCCAGAGAACTAGCGTCTTTCTTTCAAGCAAGAATAAAACTCGCGCTTTCCTCTCGACCAATCAAATGCCATACTAAAATCACTCATGCCCACCCGCTTCAGTTCCCGCGCTCTTGGCAGATTGCTTGTTTTATCTTCGATCTGATCTTTATAGAGTTTTCCTTTATTTTGATCGGCTGGAAAATTGATTAAGGGGCACATGATTGATAATTAGATTTTATTGAAAAACAGTTCTTTAAAAACAAAATACGTTTTCAAAATATATCGGGTGCCATATAGGACAATATTGTGTGCCCAAAAAATAAAATGCAAAAGTTACGAATAAATGGCATGGATCAAATAAATATATGAATGGAATATATGTGCAACATATATATGGTACGGATCAAGTCAATATATGGTACTGAATAAATAAAAATATGACATAGGACAAAAGTAAGAAAAATATATATGGCTATTGTGCCCGTTATCACTTTGGCCAGCGGCGTTATTTTGGAAAGCCGGAAAACTTGGCATCTGATCGAGGAATTGAATAATTATGGTGAACTCTACTCCCACCGTCGACTTACTTGTTCGACAGATTTTTGATCACCCTCAATTCAAAGAAGCCTTGCAAGCTAGGTCATCCGTTAGTTCAAGTTCAAACCCTGAAACTTCAACTCAAACAGCAGTTTCTGGAGCACGAGCCGTTCTCAAAGAAAATCCACTTTCAGAAGCATAGTCTCGAAGCATGCAACAAATATTTAGAAATTAAGCCGATGATTTCTTCGTACAAGAGATAAAGTGGCTCAAGTAAACTTTCGCCAGTGCTTTGCACTTTGCACTCAAATATGAAACACTTAACAACGTATGCATGATCATCTAATCGGCGTTCAAAATACTTCAAGACATTGATGTTTTCAGAGTGAATATTTCTACGAGTTTGACGAAAAAGGGATGGAATAGAGCTCTCGAAAAATTGCTCTAAATCATCAATCCTGTCAATCTTCCGCTGACCAAATTGACAATGGGCACTATAACCATATATATTTTTCGCGCATTTGCCCCATATCTATATCGTATTTGGTCCATGCCACATATATTCCATGTATATCATATCTATTTGATCCATGACATATATATTTAAGTTTTGCACTTTATTTTTGTGTCAACAATATTGTCCCATACGGCACGCCATAAAAATATGCCTCGAAACTCCTCTCCATTCGAGATTAAGGAAAATGTATACTTGAAGAGGAAAGTGTTTCATTTGACCGCGAACCCTGCAAAAAATTGATCATTTGTTTCAGTAAGTTTACGTAAAAAAATTGAAACTAAGCGGATTCTTTGTCTTTTCCTCAGCACTTAATTTCAATAGTTTCTGAATCATCTAATTTATTCATGAAAAAAAATTTCTCCTTGAAAGAGGAAAATTAATGAACGCCTCCATGATATATATAAACATGACAACGGAACCAAATTCACTGGTAAGCCGACCGTTAAGCCACTAAAATTAGTCCTAGGCTGTAAAAAAGAGGGTTTTTTGGCTTAAGAAAGGGACCAATCAAATGAAATGAGTTTCGGAGTGTTATTAGTAGAAATTTACGAGACATCACGCTTCACGATCATAGCGGAAACATTTTCACGCTTTCTCGTTGTCGATATTACGCAGTCTCAAAAAGATAAGATAGACATCTTAGTCAGGGTGGAAATAGCGCTCTATGCTATTAAAAATCAAGCCTCCAGAGTTTTAATGCATACTATTATTAGCTATGGCCTCTTGGCTTAGACGTTTAGGTGGATTTACCTTAAAAAAAAAAAAAAAAAAAACTGTTAAAATGGATTAAACGATTATTTTCCTCATAACGAAAATAATCAAAACAAAACGCAATAAACACAAAGAAAGAATCGTGTAGAATACTACTATTACTTCGAGTGAAAACGTAACTATTTTTAATTGAAGACTGTGTAAAAAATCATATCGAAAAAGTAACATTTGCATCTAAAATGAGATTATCAAATAGAAATCCGCCAAGCGCCCTCAATTTCCCTTTTAATTGGAGGCTTATTTTAGGTATGGCAGTTAAGAATCAAGTTCTCGTTAACATGTTAATTAAGAAATGACAATCTTTCGAATGCAATTCGTATAGAATCTACCACTGTGCAAGGAGTATTTCGAAAAGATTGCCTAAGGAAGTTTTTCCTCGTAAAACCCAGACGAGCTCTGAATAGATATTTCAGTTTATCTTTGTACTTAACGCTCTGTTTTCGCCCTACGAATTGTTCTCACTCCGTGGACCCATACGGCTGAGAATGTCTATGAACGCTGATTTAAAAGCATTTGATGTTGCTACGCCGGTTATAATTTTGGCAGGCATGACTGGAAATTTCATTGTCTGTTGCCTCATTATTACAAACAAAAAACTGAGGACTTCATTTAACTATCTTCTTCTCAATTTAGCCATATCTGACTTGTCATGCTTACTGTTTGCGTCTCTTTTCTACGCGGGGAAAATTCGAAATCTTTACTTCAGCGACGGAAATCTTCTACGACCCGACTTCGAGGGCATTGCTTGCAAAGTAACTATTGTAAGCATCGACCTCACCACGAAAATTTCTGTTTTTACTCTAGCTGCTATCTCAACGGACAGATTTTATGCAATAGTTTATCCATGGAAGCACAGAAAAGCTTCGATAACGACGAAGATACGAATCCTGCTTCTCGTTATTTGGTTGGTGGCGGTGATATGTTGTCTACCGATGATGGTGATCATGGCAAAAATTCCGAATAGATTCGAAGGAGAATCGATAGCGCCGCTTTGCCTTAAATTTCTTGTGGATACCGACAAATTTAAAGTCATCGCTTTTATTGATCTCATCGCTGCTTACATTATACCGATGGCGATTATTTTGCGGACTTCAGTGGCAGTTATCAAACATCTATGGTGCCATTGCTGGCGTCGAACGCGTCGCGAAGAAGGCAAATTATTGGTTAACTCGCGCAAGCGAATTACAAAAATTGTCTTTAGTGTTATTGTTGCTTTTAACATATTTTGGTTACCATGGGCGGTTCTGCAAGGTTCTCTTTTAATCGGTGTTGTTCACGAAATTAACGGCAGAATGTTCCTTATCATGTTTAGTTTGGTTTTAATCAGCGCCAGTGTAAATCCAATTCTGTATTCGATTCAAAGTCGATTGTTTCGAAAAGGGGTTATTAAAATGCTTCGCTGTAAATCAATTTGAACATTCGGGGGAAATCTTTGAATGAACGTTAAAGAAACAGGATATTTTTTCGTTATTCAAGATTTTACTGTATGATAAATTTTTTTGTCAATATCAAGAAATATCAACATTCAGATTTAGACTTGTGCAAAAGATCACAGCTGTCGTTAAGGATTAACGTGAATGGAGCGAATTATTATTCTCTCGGTACACTATTTTTCTTGGTATTAGAAGTTAAGGACATGAAATAAGTCTTGAAAATGTGAATGAATATTCAACAGTTCAGCTTTTAGGCTAGGAACAATAAAACATTTTAATCTAAAATTTCACTAGCAATCATCGTCTCATATATAGATTAAAAATATCAAGTTTCAGAACTGACCGGAATTTTGATTAGCTAATTCAACGTAAGCAATGTAAGGAGTATTGGTATACAGCATCGAAACTGCAAATAAAGTCTCGCGAAACGACACCAGCTTCCTTCTACAAATAATCTTCAACTATCGCTGAAAACCACACAACAAACACACACATAGTCATTTATAGCTAACAGATTGAAAAAAACATGTCACGGCAAAACAAAACCATTAATGAAGGCGATAAAAATGCAAGACACCCACCGTACCCACTTGTATGACTTTCTACTTTGATTAGAGTTTTTATTTGATCAGATGTGCCGCATACATTAGGACGCATTTGCCCCTCGCCTGCTATTTTTAAACCGTGAGATACGTAGTGTCGAAAACGAATTGGAGTTTGCAACGCAGTGGTAAATCTGGAACTCATTCCCAAGTAGGGCCGAGAGGCTCGCGAGTTTTTAATAGAAGTTGAATACACGGTCAAGAGCAAAATGATCCGCAAGGCGAAACAGGAATTTTTCGTGACAATACGTCACTCGTGTATCTTAAATGAAATATTTCCTGAGCGTGTTATGTATGATCATCTGAAGCGTCACTAGAGTCGGCGTAATCGCAGCACACCAAAGAACTAATATAAGATTTTCTATCCAGCTCTGAGTCTTCAGAGCTTCCATCCGGGGTATTGTAGTTTTCCTCCTGTTTTAATTGGTTTGCGAGGCAATTCTGTGTTTGTTTGACGCTTTGAGACGTCGCATCCGGGGACCTAGCCGCACGAACTTCCGTTTCAGATGATGTATTTCCAGTTATCTCAATGTTTCTCTGCGAATCTAGTTCAGAAGAAATCACTGTTTGATTCACGATGGGACCATTTGAAAGGTCTTCAACTGAAGGGTCCTTATAAGTACTATTGTCTGCGCTCTCGCTATTATTGAGCTTTGTCCTTCGAACTTTAATACCAAACGATCCCTGGATGGTAAGTTCATTCTTCGACTTGGCAGGTGTTGAAAAAGAATTGACCTTGATTTGTCTCCGTTTTCCGAGAAGTTGCTTGATTTTTTGTCTTTTTTCCTCGGATTTTCCCTTTGTATCAAACAATGGCCTGTCGTTGATTTCAGACCGACGCTTACGGCGATGCCCGTCAAAACCTGGATGAGATTAAAAAAAAAAAAAAAAATTGGACTGCGTCAAAATAAAGTGATTTTACCGTTACCAATCCTTCTTCGATAACCAGCAAAAGAGTTTTGCGCTGCAGAAAATCATTATCGCAACGGAAATCTAGAAGCAGAAACAAACAAACTACATTAAATTCCTCTAATCATTTCTCGACTGAATATTTGCGCTTGTTTTCCTTCAGTGGCAATGCAAATGTAAATATGAAAGATGTATGGGAAAAAATGACACCTTTTTTAAACGGCGGTTTCTAGCCTGATTCGAACTTCAACAAACTCAGAAACACGATCTCTGAACTCTCTGAAACATCAAATGTTCTGGAAAGGTCTGCGACATGACATGATCACTGTGTATACAGTAGGTGTCTATGGCCGACTATTTGGCGTAATGAAAAATTGAGATAAAGGACTTAGTTACCAATACGTAACTGAGGCAAAATTTATGTCATTTCACACCTTTTCCATGATATCTTATCCTATTCGCGAGTTCGATGTCTTCCTCTCTTTCTGGCACAAGACTTACGTCCAGCGCTCCCCTGTCTTTCAACTCGTTGTCTTTCATGGCTTGAGCATTCAAATCCTGTTTCTGCTCGCGAAATTTCTTTCTAAGAAGCTGATTAGCTGCGTAATCATCATCCCATACAGACTGAACTTCCTGGAAGAGATAAAATATGTTTTCCAAAACGTATTCAATAGTTAATTTCGTAAATGGAAGATGAGATTGGGGTAGATGTCTACCTTCCCCCACCCTGCCAATTTCCCCACCAATCCCAGAAAAAGTGCGTTAACAGGTCGCAACAAGTTGAAGAAGCTTGCCATAGTTTTCAATTTAAAAAGCTAGTCGCATAGTATAGTATTTACACGCCTTTTTCACATCCAAGCTTAATATGAAGTTGCAGCATTCATAAGTCTTCATTTCTCTGTTTTGAGCCCTGAAAACATGTTACCTTAAGCTGTGCTAAAGTAGGTAAAGCTTTCTTGGACTTCTCTTGATCTTGAACACCATGTTCCAATTTAAACATTGCATCAATTGCCATTTTCTTGACATCCTCCTTGTCTAACACAAATAAAAATAAAAGAATTAAATGAAATAAAATGACATAAAATGATATAAAATTTGATGAAATGAAATGAAAATAAGAAGAAAATGAAAATGAAATGAATGATGAGACGAACTAACACAAATATATAACATAAATCAATATATTTTTTAAAACCCTCACTGGCAGTAGGCAAACCAGTTAAAAAATGGCTGTTCTAATTCATATTCACACCACGGTAAAACTGTCTTTTTTACCTTCTTGATCAAGATGTTAGCAACATTGAAACATCAGACAACTAAAGTATTGTTTTATTATTTCTGCTCCTATACTGCCTCTCAAAAAACAGTCAACTTTCACAATGCATTACGCCCAACAGCTTCAACAAGTGTGTGAGAGGAATAAATGCTTTGAAATGATCAGCCAAGCTAAGCATGCTCAGATAAATTATACCATCACATGTATGTATCTGCTCCCTGAAGTCTTGCAACCACCCTGCAATTTTATCACAAGTCAGCAGATGCAACTACTGGTTGGCAGGCCTTTTTGTTGCGAGGTTTATTTTTCCTACTGTATATTACATTTTGGTGAATGTTGCATGGAAAAACTCGATAAAGTTTTATATTTCTAGTCTTGATTACCTGTTAGTTCAACAGTTTCTGTTGCTGATGGTTCCCATCTTTCTTCTTTTCTTCTAGCTCCACTCACAATAACATAATCACAGTTCTTATCAAGAGACAAAAAAATATTCAATGAAACATATAACATATATATTCAAAATTAAACTGCATTGTAAATTGTACCAGTAAACTGTATCAAACACACTTTGAAATAATTTTTTTCTTGGTCAGCTTAACTTTTTAATGACAGTTGATTACAAGAAGGCAAAAATTTGGAAAGGATAAATTATTGCAAAACAGCAAAATGTTGTATGAAAACCCCTCACACTTAAAGCTACCCTGGCTTAAACATGCTATTATCAGTTTGTGCTTTGATTGCTCCAATTAATTTTGGTATGTCACAAGGTATAATCAATTATATATACACCATCCAGTAACTATAGGCCAAGGAGTAGCAAATATATTAAAAATGAAAACACTGTGGCTCTTTTCTCCATTTCTGGTAAATTTCCTGTGAGCTTTAGACCATAACAGATAAAAGAACTTGAAATCACCTTTACCTCAGAGAGCAGATCTCAAGAGTGAGGTTAAAGAATTAGGAGAATAGAAATTGTACCTTGCATTTTCGGGACTATTTCTTTAATAGAATTTGTATCATGTGGAATAGTATCCCTGATAATATCAAGTTGGTTGAATCCTTGGGTTCATTCAAGTGCCAACTTGAATCATTATTCTTTAAGCATATTTATACTGTTTTCAATGGGGACAACGATCATTTATTTAAGATTAACTGTTCCAAATGTAGAAGAGTATATTTATTAAGTGCATGCACTTGTTAATGATTAATTTATCAATCAACTTTTTAATTTTTTTTCTTCTTGTTTTTAAATCATTATTACCATGGGGCTGGGCTGATAGTAGAATCTTGTAGGGGACATAATGTCTTGTTATTCGTACTAGCCACACATTATAATTAGTGTGCAAATCTTTAAATAAATTGTAATTAGTATATAATAAAACAGTGGCTAGTTTTGAAGGCGTGCTCTGATTGGCTAGTCAAACTCCGAATATCCTCTCCTATTTACCTCCGAGCAACTCGGGAAAAAATGGCGTCCCGGTTTGCATCGGTGACAAGTGAAGAAATGACTCAAATTAATTTTTGGTGTTGTATATTATCTCACTGTTTTAGTATATACTAAAACAACTATTCACCTCAGTGTCGGTGGTTAGCAGTGGATATTTACCTCGCCGATTTGCGGCTGAGTAAACATCCACCACTAACCACCTCCACTTCGGTGAATAGTTGTTAATTATACTGTGTAAAATCTTCTCACAAATCTAATATTTTCCTACTGCTTAGAAAAAATACACTGTACAGACTGGATGTCCAAACATTTTGTGGTTTCTACCAATTCCAAGTTAAACAGCAGGGACTGTGTCATTTTCTTTTCCCTACCTTTGGATCAGTTTCTATTTCAAAGTGATTATCACAAAGGTGACATTTCATCCGGAATCTGTAAATGGGTGTGGTGTAGTAGTTACCAACTTTTTTCTTTTCTGCATTGTACCGTACACCTACAGGAGAGAGACCATAAAAGAACTAAGCCACTTTGAACTACATCACTTACAAAAGCAATTTTAATAATTTCCCATAGCACTTTTCAAGCTCAAGGAAACGTAAATTAATATGAAACTCAGACAACTCTGACCAAGAGAAACATTTATCAAACATTAGTATATACAGCAGATTTTTTGCACATGCAGGCTGATTGGCTAGTTTGGAGATGAATAAAAGGTATTATTTACCTCCAAGCAGCCCATGAGACAAAAACGTACATCTGTGTGTATGTGGAACAAGATCATACTAATTTGGAAATATCTGGAGTAAAATGTTTTCCAATAACCACAAAAATGTGGACATACTGTACCCATTCCAATATGATTTCCACATCCTCCACACCATATGTTATAGGGCATCTCAAATCTAGGTGAGATAGGATCAAACCTTAACTAATTTAACAGAGTTTAAGAATCTTAAGAGAAGCCCATAATTATGTGTACCATTAGAAGCAGCATACAGTTAAAGGCTACCTGACTCTTAACCTGCATTACCAAATAAATAAACAAAATTCAGTGAAATGACATGAGCATACTCAGAAATATGAACTCAGAGTGCTCCAAATATGAGAGGAACCCACTACCTTTTAACTAGTACTTTAGATGCTCTACCACAGAGCTGTAGGAGACTCAAGCAACAGGCTAGGCTACTTGGAAAGAGTACCATATAACCCCATACATTAATTATGCATTCCACTTCTTTGTCTTTCACGACAAAACTTTAAAACCAAAGTCTACTAGTCTGAATGCATAATTAATGTATGGGGTTATATGGTACCCTTGCTGGCTACTTTACTTGGTCCATGGTGACAAAATTTCTGCGTACTACCAGATGGAAATGTCAATATGTGATGCTTTGAAGGGGTATTTGAAAAAAAGAGGGCTACACCGCAGAATACCAGCCCAGTCATTTACACATCATTGAGTAAGAGTAGTGTCTATTGTTTTATGCCACGTTCTTTAAAGCCTCCTAACACATGTAAATGAGGTGGCCAGATATTCTGAAGTTGCTCCAACAAATGATATCAGACACACTGCTAGATTCTCCTATCAAATTACCCTATATTTATTTGTGAGGCAAAGGGAGAAGTGAATGCTCCATCAACAGTCGTTTCAGGCTCTATTTCATACAACTCTTCAATCATAAAATATTGAATATTTATAGAGGAAACTGGGCATACAAGAACTCTGGTAAGAATAGTTCCATTTTTCGACAGGCATCACAATTGATTAAGTATTCTGGTTCGCATTTACCTAATAATGAGAATTCCTTGGCCAAGCTTTCGAGCTCGTTCACGTAACGGGTGTTGTCCATGATATCTGTCAAGTGAGCCCTGAAAAAACAGACGAAGATTAAACAGTTCAAGTAACACTGTACAGTACTGTTGGATACATGCATTCATGGTGAAAACTGAAAGAGACAATTTTGGCACACACCTGTTCTGGGGTCCAATCCGGAGGGTAATACTTATTGACAGCCTTTCTTTCTCCCTGAAGATATAAAATAGCATCTTAAAAATATATTTTTTTAAGTCAGATCAAGGATTTATAGAAGAATATTTACCATTATCGAGCGGTGTGTCACTATCCAACAAAATGAAACGTTTACCAGGCGATTTAAGGTCAGCGGATCCTCACACTAACTTAATGATACATCTGATACAAGGCATAAAGTGTCTCTAAAATTACTTGTTATCTCTTCTTCTGATTGGAACGTTTTAGCTTTTCGCAGAGAAACGCAAAATTTATACTTCTTCTATTCCTGCAGTAAGATTTTCTCGTGAAGGTTTTATCACAGATATTTGTGGCCTAACTTGTTCCAATCTTGACAGACAAAAAGTGGTTGTGCTAGCTTCCTTAACAGAAGACGGAACCGAGGCGACGAATGATGTGCTGTGTTTTCGAAATATGGCGCCAACTGTCAAAGCGTTTTCAACTATGCCGACAGATGGATTAATGGGAGCTTTGATCTCGCTTTAGAACTTTTAGCTATGGCCTTCGACAACAGGAAAGCTCTTTGGCTCACTGCTGGCCTGCTTTCAGGCTTAGGGACGGCTTTCTGTCTCGCTGAATTACGAAAATTTATAAGGGAAAAATGTACACGAAAAACACTGTCCCATCTGGAAGATAACATTAAATTAGAGGATCTGGAAATTCTCGTGCGCTCTTCCAACTACTCACTGAGGAAGAGTGCTGAACAAGTTGTGCTAGATAAAGCAATGAAGAATAATAATCTGGATTTTATCGTAAATGCCTGCTACAGTGATGACGAATTTCAAGTCTTGAAGGCAGTTGTCGCACTAGCTATGTTGGTAAAAAACTCGGAACGCAACGAAAGAGAGAAGTTGATTGAACACAAAATATTAGCATCGCTCTCTCACTCCCTCGTTCAATCAGTGCAAGTTGGCTACAGAAGGCTATCCAAGATGGGAGGCTACGATGTTCGTTTGCAAAGATGTGCGTCCGAATCGCTATTTCATCTGATATACGATGAAGAGAGCATTAAACTTCGTCTGGCTCAGTCAAATTCGTCCATTTTCGCTGTTGTTTTGCAGCTGATTTCGGAGGGTAGAAGTAAAGAAGTTATGCGGTGGAGTTTGTTTATTGTTCATCAGCTGGCATCGTGTGATTCCTTGCGACCTGAACTGTTAGCCAACGGTGTGATACCAGCTGTCTCGGCGATGCTTGTGAGAAATCAAGGAGACTTGGTTCTCATGAAGACATGTCTGCACACCATGGTGATGTTTGTGAACAATACTACAGAGGGTGAGATTGCACATCTTAAGGAGATGGCCAAATATGATGTCTTTAGGACGGCGGTTGTTTCCCTCAGAGCAGGTGAACTATAATTTGTCATATTTGTTTGCAGAGATTAATTTGCACCTATGACCTGCACTTACTAGTACTGGTACGTGCATTTGTACAATAATGCTATAATGTTATAATTCTGGTGTTACATTTTACAGTATTGCAACTACATGTACAGTAATAAAGGCTGATAGTTTCTAAAGAAACTGTTTGGGGCTGCGTCGGTGGGGGGGCCGATTTTCCGTATTTTGACTGGACATAGAAAATTGAAGATTTGAGCAAATAAAAAATTTTTTGCGCAGAAATACTCAAGAAAATAAGCTTACTTCGTTAAGCGAAAAAAATTTTTTGGGTGTAGGTGCACTTTAAGGCTAATTGTGGAATGAAAACAAGATCAATCTTTTGACACAATTTTTGATCCAGCTGGAAATCCAAATGCAAATCGAGCAGCAGCTTTAAGGGTGCTCTCCATGGCCACTGATGTTATCAAGTCACTTGTTCCACTGGCCTGCAGGCAAGATAACATCTTGATTCGTATGGTGGCAGAACTACTTGGTCTCTTTTGTACTATAGGTAAGTTCAACTAGAAGTTTAACAGTGAGTTTTCAGGATTTAACCCTATTGTCCAGTCTAACAGAAGTGATTAATGTGAAACTTCTCCCAAAAATATCCATTAATATTGCAGTAAACAGGTAATGAGAATACTCAAACTTATCAGGAAGTTGTTATCCTGATATAACGCCAAATTCTCTTGACTAATTAACAAGGAAATGTGTAGCAGCCAGAGGGGAGATTGAACAATCAGATCTTGGGAGTTCAAGGGTAAAAATGGTAAAATCTCATGTAATATTTATCTTTTTTATATTATCACCAACCAGAAAGTTTACAAAGCCGAGTCCTAGAGGATGGCTGCCTTAAAGCTGTGCTGGCTTACTCAGTATCAACAGATACTGAACTGCAATTCTGGGCATCAGCTCTACTTCTGAACATGGCCATGACTTCTGATGATGTCAAGAAAGAAATCATTATGCTGGGAGGATTAAAGCCTCTAATGGAGTTAGCAATTGGGGACAGTGATCACCCACAGTGTTCAACACATGCAGCCAAGACTCTCGTCATGTTAGGATTTCTTGGTAAGTGGATTGGATTATAAATGACTAATTACATGGACAGGGCTGCGTACTGTGATATTGTTTGATTGTACTGACAGATAGAAAAAAAAAATCTTCAGGGATAAATTTTTTTTCTAGAAATCAATCAGCTTTCCCAATTTATTTCACCACGTGACACTTTTGATATTAAAGGTCTAAAGAGTATCCACAGTACATTTCCTTACATTTTACTTTAGGGTTACAGCCAGACCACAATAATATGTTTTACTTCAAAAATACAAAATTCTTTCCATCTTCCACACTAAAATGCCTAAAAATGTTGAGGGAAATCAAGACTTTCAAATGGCTTTCAAGGTGGAATATTTTGAAAATGCATTGTTTCAAATGCTCCTTTCATTCTCAGCTTGTTTTACCTTCAGCTTGTAGCACCTTAAAGAGTGCTACACCGTGCGCTCTGCATATCCATATTGTGCGGATCATTCTAGAAATTACGGTTTGCGACGTTTCCTTTTAGACACAGAAATCCCAGTGCGTATTAAGTCACTTGGGTACAGAAATGGTGAGCGTGTAAGTATTTTAATCAACGGCAAGGAACACTGTCCTAATAAACCTGGTATTAATATTGTGGTGATGGACTTCATGACATTCCAAGTCACTGAGGCTGCTGCATTCGATACCGGACATGACAAGGAAGCCAGCGACCAACTTGTAGATTTTGTTGATATGATACCAGTTGGTACCTTGGTTTTCATAGCTGTGCGAGGAGAGGCAGAATATTATATGTCTGGTAAGTTAAATTGTGTTCTCGATACCAGAACAGTTGAATAAGCAGTAAGAAGTCGGCAAATAAAGTAATTAATTTGAGCTCAAAACATTACAAAACCAAGATGCCCGCTACAGGAAAAAAAAAAAAAAGAGTACCGAAGCCCGCGGTCCTCCGCAGCAAAATCACAGGGCGAAAAAACGAGTGGTGTTTGAATGAATCTTTCCTTGAGAAATTGTTGTTTATTTCAGGACGATTCATGTATTGTATACCTGTCAGTTCATAGCCTGTTCCCCCTTCCCTTCCTACCAAGTTACGCCGCTGTGTTCAGTCAGGTCTCTACCCCTTGACCAATCTGTCAAAGTTACAGTGGTCAAGATCCAATGTCCCAGCCGGCCGTGGCTCTCATGGCGTTTAAAACGCACAAGCATTAGTGCAGTATAGCAAGACGTCAATCCAAGTTGAAGCCATGAAAATCGCCCCAAGTTTTCCAGTGTTGTCGCCCCAAGTTTTCCACTGTTGTTGTTTTTATTCCCGTCCTCAGACAAGGCAAAACTGAGTCTGAAAGACATTGGTATCGAAGATTGGGATTTCAAGACTGGCGAACTTTGGACATTTTGCGGTTACAAGCGAAGAGATGGAGCAGTAGGGATTTCTCTTCAACGAGGCTTTGATGTTGTTGAGCTGTCCACGACGCTCAGTTTAGGTAAGAATTTAAAAAGATCTTAAAAGAGGCTGTGGTTATGACACCAGCAAAGGCTGGTTTTCCCGAGCGTCGGCGACATGATCCGATTGGGATGGAGCTGAAAAAAATCTGAAGCAAGATACAGATGCCGCTTATGATTTCGTCGCTTGTGACCTTTAAAAGCCAGAGTGTTTAAGTCCGAAGTCGTCGGACGGTCTGACAACTCGCCTTGCGATCAGTAAGACTTACCCTTAACCACACAAATGTTGTTGTGGACTTTTCTCTTTTGCGCGATGCTCTGGGAATGTCAAAGATTTTGAAATAGTTTCGTTTCGTTAAGTCTGATCGCTTTGCGGAACTAGTTCTTAGTATTTCCCAAAGGTTCCTCGTCTCCCGAACCTTGCTAATTGCTTCTTGTAAGTCAACAAATCGTTAACCACTGAATTCGAAGTCTGTAAGTTCAGTTAGTTTTTGCTTCTGTCTTTTCATATGGATAACCCATGTGATTCTTTCTGCAGGGTACTATTCAAATGAGCAGGTCCAAGGTTACATTTTGTTACCACTGATTGATCTTTTGATGAGCACGCCTGCTTCGCTCGCCATCAGCAAAGTGTCAGAATTGGAGCTGCTGACAGTTCTAGCAAGACATGACCATCATAAAGAAGGTTTGTGCAGTTCCCTTCAAACTGTATCAGGTCTAACATTCGCACAGTACACCAATGTTTCCTTCAGGGTTAGACATGCTACAGAAATCATATAATTTTTTAATTCCATAGGCTTGAAAAGTATTTTTATTTAAGAATTAAATGATACCTACAGCGTTTGCGGTTCCCCAAGAGTATGAAGGAAGTAAAGAAAGTCCTAAATTGTGATAAATTAATAATGTTAATAGGACAGAATGGAGACCAATCTGGTCTGTAGTTAAACGAGTGATTACAAAATCTGGTGATCGTGTAGCGGGAGTCTGACTTGTAAATCACGAGGATTGGACGACACGAAGTCATGTTACCAATTAATCACAATCATTAAAATTTTCGAAAAAAACCAAGAGTTATTTGAGAAAGTATTTGCAGTAGAGACACTGTCTAAAGTAAAAAATTCCTCCGTTTTGGAAATTCCCCAGTATTGTAGGGCAAGTCGTTGTTGCTCTGGTTATTGTAATCAATTCTGTGATTGCTTTTGCGAAGAGGACCTAGTTTGATTGGCTGCCTTAACTTTCTGTTTAACAGTGTCCAATTACAGCCAAATGTCTGATGACTCTAACCGATTACAACTCTACAGAACAATAAGGGAATAACAAAGCTGCTAATGCGCCAATCACATTTGACGAAACTGTAATGGTTAGGATTATATTTTATTTTACATGTGTGGTAAGGTAAAGTCTGTTTACAAGACTAGTGGCCCATTGGGCCGGCATTTTAAAAATGGTTTCCGTGGCATGAAGCGACTAGGAGTTTTTCTACTCCTACTCCCCCCCCCCCCCCTGGACGGAATGCTAGACCATGAGACCAATGCGCCTGCCACACGTGTACTCTCTGCTTTTTATTTTAGTGATGGTGAACTCAGAGGGGTTTTTGGAGTACATCGTGCAGTTGATTTACAGCATGACAAACAAGACAGCTGATCATCTGAGAGCCAATCCATTGCTAATAGCTCATTGTATCGGAGCAATGAAGATTATTACTGCAATCAGTATTTCCCAGGAGATCCATGTAAGGTTGCTTTAACTTATTTGAGACTAAATAAAATTGAAGCAAGGTTAAAACCAACCCAATGCAGCGTGCAGCGGTTTCACCCATGGGATAGGGGCTCCCCAAGAGGGTTTTCAGGGGCATCGTTATGTGCTTTTGCTCAATTTGCTTTACTTTACAGCTGGCTTTGTTTTCCACCTTCCCTTCCCCCCGCTTCATTCAACTCAATGGTTTGTCGGTGTCGTGTTGACTGGGGCAATTTCGCTGGCGTCCTGTGTTTCAATCGGGAAAATCCTTCATTCCTTAATGTAGTCGTCTCAGAATATTATTCAGGTCTCTAATGTGTACCTATTTTTATAAAAATGACAGGAAAAATTCTCCGAACATAAAGTCCTGGATTGTGTTCTTAGCCTTTTATCCTTAATCAACTCTATTCAGCTCCAGAGGCTGAAACAGCAACTTAAAACAAGAACTGAAAGAATGGGACAAACAGGTATCCTGGTAACTGAAGCAGAAGACTTCGGTGACAACGAGAGTGAACAGCCAGTCGAGGGAAACGCAGTTAGTCGTGTGGTTTCCTCTCCAGGAGGAAATGTATCTACTGTACCAGAAGAAGGTAAGTTGTCGGTGTGAAGAACGAGTAAATTTTATTAAAGAAACTGTTTACTGCGCTGGCTGATAATGAAGCTATTATGCGCCGATCAATTCGAAGCTTTAACATCAGCCCCCCCTCCCTCCCTCCCCCGGGAAATTCATTGGCTATTGATCTTTCCGAAGGTGGGGACTTTTAACGTTTCCTGTTTGGGGTTGGATAACTTGAAACGGAAGTGTCAAGTCTTTCCAGCGGAATCAGTACACGTGTCTTAATTTACTTTTTTCGGAAGTGTCAAGTCTTTCCAGCGGAATCAGTACACGTGTCTTAATTTACTTTTTTGTGTGTGTGTGTGTGTGCGGATAAGTTTAAAGTTATGAGTCTGCATTCGCGAACGAACCGCTTCGGAAGAAACTTTTTCACTTCGTAGAATGATGTTACCAGCGTAAAACTCAACAGCAGCACCAAAAACCAATACCTGACTTTGGTTAATCTGCAAAACTCGTTAATCACACAGAGTCCTTCAGTACAAAATAGTGCTTGAGTGGGGCTCTTCCAAAGTTTTTAATGGCTGGGTAAGATGTTGACGCTTCAAGGGGGGGATAGAGTGGGGTGAGGTGGGGGGGGGTAGTGTTGAAGCTCTAAATTGTCTGGTGGATTAGTTGCCTTCTACCTTTCGTTTGCAGTGAAACTAACTGCAAGTGGTTTAAGAACTCCAGTTCACGGCTCCACCACAGATGAACCTACCTCTGTAAAAGGCGGCTCCCCGTTTCATAACACATTGGTGAAAAAATCCAACACGAAACCTCTCCTGACAGAGAGCGTGACAGGAGAAGCGATAATTCAAGACGACTTAGATGAAGCGTTCTCCACTCTTACTGGCCTAAGTGTAATCACGCTCTACAACTGTATGGACTTGATTTCAAATCTAGAGGAGTTTCGTGAGCACCTTTCCAAGGCTGGAACTATGCGGATCCTATGGTGTCGACTTGTGACCACCTCGTGTAGTTCATCGACAATTCAACAGATTGAACTCGCCACTGAGATGTTACTGAATTTATGCTGCTGCATGACGATGTTGGAAAAGTATACTACAGGTATGAATATATGGGAGACATACATAGCGGTCAAACGTCTGCGAATATGTGAATGCTGTAAGAACGAAAGGACTTGTTTTCGGGCAGTCACAGCGAATTTTGCTTAGAGAGGTTACAAACAACCACTTAGAAAAATCAACTCACAACAAAGTGTTGAATAAAGATGATACCCGAACACGCACTTGATCGAATAAGCTTCGTCTTTGGGAAGACTCGAGTTGCCCTTTCTCCCTAATGTGTTTCCTTTTAAAATTTCTGTGAACATTTTTTGCGCATATTCAGCGTGACAGCGGTCGTTTCTTATGTTTCCCTCTGAAATTTTGCGCGGGAAATGAATGCGCAGCAGGCCAAAGTTGAACCACTCAAACATCCTGGACATTTGACTGCTGTCTTGGTAAGGCCCTGCAAGGCAGACATTCGCGTTCCTTTTTGTTCAAGCTCTTACGCCAAGAATAACCTCAGTGTGCATGCTTTCGATAAGCCTTTTTGCATCATTTTGTAACGCGACCATGCACATCCAGCTACTTCTTCGCTCTTAATTAACATGGGCTTCTGGTCCTCGTTATTCCTGTCCGTGAAGCTACTGTGTTTGTTTTTCTGGTCATGCAGAGCTTGGGGTGGAGCTTGACGAGCAGACGAAGACGCCGGCTCTTGTGCTGAGTGCTGATCGTCTGGAGGCTTCAAATCCAAACTGGACATTTGAAAGCGTGCATGCCACCATGTGTGTAGGACGGGGGATGTGTGCAGTGCCTCCTTTTCCTGCTGGCTGGTACTATGAAGTCACCCTGAAGTGTACAGGAATACTGCAAATAGGTAGGTGTTTTTCGCTAGCATATTTTTCACTAGCGTTCTTCCTTGCCTCTCCATTTTTTTGTTTTTGTTTTATTTTTTGTTGTTTTGTTTTGTTCTTTTTGTTTTGGTTTTTTTAATTGTTTTACTCTTTTTGTCATTTATTTGTTATTGTTTTTGTTTTGTTTTTGTTTTTGTTTTTGTTTTGTTTTTGGTCCGTTTTTTTTTTCCTGTAGATAGATCTCCAGTTTGTTTTGTTTTATTTTTTCCTGCAGAGAGATCTCCAGTTTCCTAACTCCATCAATGGTATATTCTTTGAAATCAATATTCTCGCTCTTTAGGCTGGCAAACCGAAGAATGCCGATACGGTCCCGAGCGAGGCGTAGGGGTTGGTGACGACAAGAACTCATGCGCATTCGATGGTGCGCGGTGTAAAGTATGGAGTGGACCCCCTTGTGAACAACTGAGCAATGACTATGGAAAGGAATGGAGTTATGGAGATGTTTTGAGTTGTTTGTTCTCTTGGAATGGAGAAGTCTCCTTCTGGTTGAACGGAGTAGATATGGGTGTGGCGTTTAGGGGGCTAAACCCTGGAGTTAATTGGTATCCTGCGGCGTCCATCGCCATGGACCAGCATTGCTGCTTCAACTTTGGTAACAAGCCCTTCAGGTGTGACTTTTTTTGACACAAAATTATGTTGATATAGTAAACCCTATATTATCCAAATTAATGAAGGTGGCAAGTTTCTCAAGAAAATGTGGTACTGTGTCGGGAGGGGGGATGGGGGTATTACAAGATAATTTGGTTTTATTAGCTGAGTTCATTTAACACATTGTCTGCAATTATCCATTGTCTATAACCGTATTGATTATAGAAAATGACTTTCACAATGTTCAAAACTTCACGGCTAGTTTAAAATAGACCACGAGCAGTTCCGCTTTTCGGCTAAGTCTGTCGTGCGAGTTAAAAAAAAAAAAATCAGTGAAAAGATATTGATGTTAGCGCGCTCCGGGGGACTCTTGGAGTGACGCCGATGCGCTGTAGTGTAAAGGGTTAATGAGACCTTTATCGTGTACCGTTCGTGATGATTCACCGGGTATACGAAGTACTGTTTTGGTGCGTCTGTCATACGAAAAGCCAAAGGATCTTGGATACAGCTATCCATCTTGCTTTACAGCAGATATGACAGGTATCTTTTGTTGCTAAACAGATACGAAATGCCTGATGGGTACATAGCCGTAAGTCACGTGGTCTCTAACCTGGTAAAGAAAGCTTCACTGCGCCTATCGTCTTGTTGGACGCCGATCAGCGGTAGCTTTGAAAGCATTGTGGAGGAAGATGAGGAAGTGATTGATGATCAGGAACTTGAGGCTTCGGATGTAGCTAAGCCTGATGATACAGGTGTGTTCATGAGAGCTTTGCGATTCACCAACAGTTGTACTTATTGCTCAATGACAAATCCAGAAGTGGATTTTAGAGGGATTTCTGTATTCTTTCGTAGTAGTATGCAGGATGTTTGTCACCATGGACTTAGTTAGACGGCCTAGCTTAGCAGGAGTCTCCTATAGCGCAGTGTTAGAGTACTAATTGGAAGGTCATAGGTTCAGCACCTATTGCGAGCACTCGTAATTCTTTTTCTCCGAGTGTGGCTCTGTTATTCACTGAGTAACATTATCTTTTACTTAAAAAATAGAATGTTCTTTCTAGAACTACTGGGAAACCTTAAGGGCTTTGTCTTTCTGTTGTAGTTAAAATTATCAATTCAAAGAAAGCAACTAGTGTTCGAATAACCAATACAGAGAAAAGTGTGATCACTTAATTAAACCGTTGATAAGTGTTTTAATTGGTATGCACCGATGATTTACAACAAGCGTTATAAGTTAATTTGTTGGAAAGACAAAAAGGTGCAAGAATGGTCCTTTCATTTCGTGATAATTTCAAAGATTTGCATTAAAAAAATAAATAAATAAAAATAACGTACCCATAAATCTTCAAATGTACCAGTCCCTTTTTTGTGATTACCTGTAGTTCATAGAAAATCTTGTGCGCACCGAAGATTAATTATAATAATTCGAATATGATGGGGAAAGTGAGTGATTAAGTGATGATAAAGAAAAAAATTAGGGATGGTACGGTAGAAGGTGGCAAGAAGGAAAGTGAAGGGGAAAGAGGAAGGGAGAAGGGAATGGAGAAAGAGAAGATAGGAGAAATGGGAAATCGATCGGAGAGAAAGAGAGAGTTCTTTCGGAGAAAGGGAGGGAGCTAGTATGTGAGGAAGGCTGTGATAGACAGTCGTGAAAGGTTTTCATTTGTTTTCATTTTATTCCCAGCTCAAAGACAATTGATCCAGTCTTGTAACAAGGAGCCCTCTAGAGCTGTTATGAAAGAGGAACAACCGTCCGTTCTTTCTCTGGAACACAGCGTGGCTGAATCAAATGTGTTGTTTGACTACCAGGACACATCCTCTTTGAGCAAATCTTCTCTCGCCTTATCTCCCGAACCTACAAATAATTCTTTAACATTTGTTACACCTTCCTCTGGTGTCTTCACCACACCCCAGAGCTCGCCACCCAAAGTATCCGGTCTTGACGTAATTTTTCCTGGAACCGAACCAGAGCCCTCGCCGTATGGAGTGATGTCGACTGGTGACGAGACAGCAAACGAAGAAAGACCTCCATTTGAAGAAAAACACGTGACCAGCACTCCATATTTGGGCCTAGGCCCTTTGAGGGACTCTATTGGAAAGCACTTTGAAGCGAGGTCGCGCCTTAACGCTTGGCCACAAGAAGCAACCCTGGGAGAGTCCTTCATAGGTAAGGAATGCGTAAACATGATGGAACTCGCTTATTCTTTGTTTATAACACTAGAAGACTGATTATGCGGTGAAACTTAATCCTAGCCAGGTATCGAGGCTTAGTAATTTTAGGCGATCTAACCACAGGCTGAATCGCAAAACAACGAAGATCCCAGACCTTTTCTCCAGAGTAATTAACCTATGTAGTGCCTTTTTTTTCCTTCTGTTTTTCTGGTTAACATGGTCACTTAAGATTTTCGTCTTCCTCAGAGCCCGTTCTGCCTTGTCTGTACTTTGAAGCAGAACTGAAATTCGCTCCATGCCGAGTCAAACAAATGGGTTTCATCAATGTGGAAACAAGGGAAAAATTTTATTGTGACGTACATGACGGCCATCTTCAGTTTCCGAAGTCGTCCAGTCCCACTCCGCACGCGTACACGTACGAGCAACAAAGTTTCAGGGTCCCGGATGTTGTGGGCTGTGCAGTAATATTATCGACGGGACAGATCATGTTTACCTTAGATGGAGTAGCAACCGGACAATTTTATGACTTCCCATCAAGTAAACCATCATCAATGGTCATTGAAAATCTTTTCCCCTATATATCTTGTACGCGAATTCGATGTAATTATGGACAGCGGTCGTTCCTGTTTGAGGATGCGAATAACAAAGAGTCTCTGGTTATGAGTGGGGCTCTGCTGCATGGATTGGTTGAAGAATACTTAAGGCTGTAGCCTGAGACAGAACAAGTGTATTAAGAACAACACAGCAGTCAAACGTCTGCGCACGTGCGAACGATGTGATGACTAGATGGCGTGCTTTTAAGCTGTCAGAACCAGGTTGTGTCACACGAGTTACCAACAACCACACAAGCCAGTTAGTCACGGTGTTTTAAAATCGTGCAACTTTTTCGGTAAAGCTCTTTAAAACATGACGCTGTATAAAATATAACTTTCTTGGTAATTGCTTTTTAATATGACGCTATAGACGTTTCCGAACCCCGCAGTATGCAGAACGCGCGTCATATATGAACGTCGTAAGTGGTCTAGCTCACCCAAGAGTCTCTGTGGCTTAGTGGTAGAGCATTGGAGCGCGGAATCCTCATGGGAACTCAGAATTTTTTCTTCGTCCCATGCTCGTGACAAGACGAAAGAACATCTTTCTATATTTCTTTATCGAGCTCAAAACTTTCCATCTTTCTTGTTCTTTACAGAATGCTTTGTGTTCGAAAAGTCTCGAGTGTTTTCCGTTTTTCCCACTTTTGTTTTTTTACAGATTTCTATGAATGTTTCAATTATCTTTCGCTTAGTGTGCAAGTTAGCCGGCAGTTGTTTCGTATGTTTTCCTCTGAAACTTTGCGCGGGAAAATTGGCGCGCGGTCGGTCAGAACGGATCCCCCCGCGCATGTTCGGCGTTTGACCGCTGTGTTACTTAAAACTAGGAAGAGTTTCATGTTAAGGTTCTGCAGCAATATGTGGAGTGTGCGTTCTCGATACGATTCCTTTTTGAAACGATCTGAAGCAAGTAAATAATTTTGGCTGGACTTCTTTAGTGTTTAAAAATTTCATTCTCTTGTCGGTTAATTGGTTTGTAAAGAATGTAGCGTTTTGATAAGTCTGCCATGCGATAAAATAACACTCTTGTTTCCAGAGCCCCCTTCTTATTTAGTCATGTGATAAGAGAAACGAAAAAGTAGTGACTGATGGGACGAGAAGGATAGAAGATATATTTAGATGTGAGATTGAAATTTATAAAAGATACTGCAGTTTTTTGCTGGGATCGTCTACTAATATGTCTTTGGTATATAAAACTAAATGACTGGGCAGTTCCAATGCTAAAAGCAAAGGCGCCAACTGTGAAATGC